AATATTTATGAGGGAAGGGATGTGTGTCATGTTATCAGTACTAGCTGATGCTAACAACTTCCAGCTCAAAGCAGAATGTTTTCTTAAGCCATTTACGCATATCTTTATCTGCCCTCCTTAAAGTAATATTAATTGCAGCATTGTCAATGTATTAATGCATATAGGAGTGTGCCACAGTCATGGTGTTTAAGAATTGTAGCAATCAAATCACCTTTTTTACCATCTGCCATTGCCACTTCTGATTTTCTTTTGCTATTTCTACAATTTAATTTAATTTTTATTGCATTTTTTTAGTCTATATATTTTCTTTCAGATTGAATGGCTCTGGCCCTAGCACAGCTTTTCTCGGTAAGAACTATTTCTTATATCTGACTTGTTTTCAACCTCAGAATAGATATTCCCTTTTCTGAAACTTTTTTTTATTATTTATTTTTAGATTTCCTATAGAATTACATCTAACGGGCAGAATTGGAGTTCATTTTTGCCCAGCAGAATGGTATGTTTTCTGTCTGGGTGTGTTCAAGAGGATTAGATTTTTCTCTGCAAATACTGCCTTGTGTTTTCAGATATCTTATTCATCTTTGCACCAGAATCCCATTTATGAGTAGTAAGAGATGTATTATATTCAATGTGATATTTCAATCACTGCTCTTGGATTTGTCTATCTGAACATTTGTCTGATTCATTTGTCTATCTGCCTATCTGTAAACCTATAATGTCCCTCTGTCATTGAACTGAAGAGAGCTTGTAGGGTGATATTCATCTCACCATAAGGCAGAAGTCTAAAATCACATGAACTATTGCTTAAAATGGCTATTTCTTTCTGTATTTAATATAGAGAACTTTTAAGGTGAATACCTTAGAATTTAGGTACTTGAAGTCAAGGAGTTTTCCAATAAAAGGTCTTTAATTTTTTTAATTTTTTTTTTTTTTTGCAAAATAGCAGACCTGCCCAAACATTGGATTTGGTTTTGGCTTGTGTTTTCTTCTGTGACAGTGTTTTGTACCACACCTTTAAAACAATTAATTCAGCAGATTTCTCTATGAAGTCTGCATTTTTACTTAGTTTTCTTACTTGGCAGATTTGCGTGGATTTGTGGTTGGGTAAATCAGCTTGCCTTATTATTGTCTTGCTTTTCTTCTACCATTTTCAGTATATCCAATTTCTGTTTCAGAGACATGTACATTGCCCTTGTGCTCTCTCACCCCAGAATTCTCAAAATGTTCCTTTTCAGCTTTGAGATTCAACTCTGATGCCACATTACATATTCACAAGCACTGTACAACTGCATTTCTGACTCACAAGTTTCAAACCTGTAACAGAACCTTCAGTTGTTTGTTCTTTTTGTGTTTGTTTGCAGTTTTTGTGGTTTGTTTTATTGTTTGTTTGTTTGGCTTTTTTTTAATGTTAAAACTAACATCTCCTGAGAGCCATAAATTTCTTGCACAAGGGTAGAAGAGGGTCTCTTCCTGTATTATAAACCTTTCCAATTTTTTTTTTTATTTTGTCTGCTAGGTGGCTTGCTTTTCTTCAGTCATCTAGAAGACATGAATAATATCTTCAGCTGCTGACCTAGAGGTCTTCAGAACAATGGCTCCTTTCAGGAAGCATGAGAAAGATTGAAGAGGCATCTTTTGCCTGGGCAGTCTGGTGAGCTTGGTCCTTCCAATGTCTTTTTATTTTAAAGACAGGTATTTCTTACTGCTCAAGATGGAATAAACAGGTATGTGTAATTTAATGAAAAGTAACATGTAATGTAAATTGTAATCCTTAAATGTTAAGTACTCTTTCAGTAATTCTGAATCCTTAGATCTCAAATACCCATGTCTTTCAAAGTGCTTTCTGTTTCATTTTCTATTTAGATCAGCTTTCCTTGTTAATATCACTAAATGTATCCACTTAGGGATTTTTAACTTTTTCCCCTTGTATTTTTAGACAGAGAACTATTTACAGATTAGTCCTTATTAATGTTTCAAGCACTGTGAAGCAATATGAATCTTCTCCAGAAAATCTACACGCTGTATAAAAATTTCCTTTTTAGGTTGGGTTATCAAAGGTAGTGAGTCATTTACCATGCCCTGTGCTTAAGTTTGGAAACAAGCCTTAGAAAGCAATACATAAAAAAACTAATACTACTGACATTTCTAACTCTTTTCAGAAACAGTGTAATAAATCCACTTTAAGTGTTCTCCATTGTATATAATACTCCAGTCAATTTATTTGCACTTCGTAAAAAAACCCACTGTATTTGTTCCAAGGAGAAGTGAGCAGAGATTCAAAATGTGAGAGCAAACACAAGTATCCAAAACTTCCTAATTTTGGTACTTCTTAATTAGCTGGGAAATCCTCTAGAACAATATTTAATATTGTTGTTATCAGTCAAACTAAGATAGAATCACAGAATCATAGACTCATAGAAGGGATAGAAGGGAGGTGATCGTTCCCCTGTACTCGGCACTGGTGAGGCCATACCTCAAGCGCTGTGTTCAGTTTTGGGCCCCTCACTCCAGGAAAGACATTGAGGTGCTGGAGCATGTCCAGAGAAGGGCAACCAAGCTGGTGAGGGGCCTGGAGCACAAGTCTTATGAGGAGCAGCTGAGGGACCTGGGGCTGTTTAGTCTGGAGAAAAGGAGGCTGAGGGGAGACCTTATTGCTCTCTACAACCACCTGAAGGAGGGTTGTAGTGAGGTGGGTGCTGGTCTCTTCTGTCAGGTGGCTGGAGATAGTACAAGAGGAAATGGCTTCTAGTTGCAGCAAGGGAGATTTAGGCTGGATAGTAGGAAAAAATTTTTTACTGAGAGTGTGGTCAAACATTGGAATGGGCTGCCCAGGGAAGCAGTTGAGTCACCATCCCTGGAGATATTCAAAAAGCGAGTGGACGGGGTACTTCAGGACATGGTTTAGTGGGCATGGCTGATGGTTGGACTTGATGATCTTGAAGGTCTTTTCCAACCTAAATGATTCTATGATTCTATGAGTAATAGTTTACATTGATACAAAAAAAGACTGCATAGAAAAGGCAAGCATCCTATCAACTCTTCGACATGTGAGTTACTGATATCCTGGAACAGGGAAACAATGTATGTATAAGATCAAAAGTATTTCACATTTGAAGATATTTTGTGGTCCAGCTCTTAAGAACATGTCTTAATAAGATTTCAGACCGTGTATGCCTTGCTCCCCAAAATGTACACTTTTATAAACTGTCTGAATACAGCAAAAATATAAGCTTAAATAATAAGATTGTAATATGAACCAAAGCTCTTTATGAGCACTCTGAATTATTTCTTACTACTTTTTTACATTATATTTTTCTGTTTTTTAGAGAAAAAATCAAATAATCACTCCCTGGAAATTCTGATGAAGGCTTTTATTATGAAGCATACTTCCTATGACCAGGAATAAATTGTTTATGCATGTCTGGAGAGATCATCCAGTATTTCATGGCATACTGTTCACTTATTTTGTTCTCTAAAACTTTTTAAACAATTTTATCCAGTAATTTCTGGATGCATTAATTCATTATACTCTCAAACTGCATTATTTCATGGCTGGTAAGTACATTTTATGAGTTATTGCTCGCTATGTTTAAATTGCACACTCAGTCCCTGTCAGGGACATAGAAGTTTGTAGCAACAGAATGCTTAAGTAAAAGGTGAACTCCCAAAGGAAAAGCATAGTCATTGAATTAAATCAGTTCACAGAAAGAACTGCTTCACCCTCTTGTATCAAGAGGCTGAGTGGGAAGTTCCCACTGACTAGAAAAGGGGAAACATAACCCCCATTTTTAAACAGGGAAAAAAGGAAGACCCAGAGAACTACAGGCCAGTCAGTCTCATCTCTGTGCCTGGCAAGATCATGGAGCGGACCCTCCTGGAAACTATGCTAAGGCACATGAAAAATCAGGAGGAGATTGGTGACAGCCAACATGGCTTCATGAAGTGCAAATAGTGCCTGACAAATGTGATGGCCTTCTACGACAGGTCACAGCATTGGTGGGTAAGGGAAGAGCAACAGATGTCATCTAGCTGGACTTGTGCAAAGCATTTAACAATGTTCTGCATGACATGCTTGTCTCTGAATTGGAGAGACATGGATTTGATGG